CCTGCCCATGGTCGTGGCCACGAGGAGTCCTCATTCAGCCTGGTCCTTGGCCAGGTCCTGGGAATCCTTGGATCCAGCTGTCCACACGAGGCCCCTTCCTGTTGCAGAAGCCCGAGCCTTAGCTTCTGCCCTTGCCTCCCAGGAGAGCGCTTAAAATGCTGTGTGTCGGCACCCAAGTCCGAGCAGGAAAGTGTAAACAGAATATGATTTTGATAATCTATTTTTTTCAAATTGTATTTTTAATTTTTCTCATTCCCCCGTGCTCCCTTCAACCTCCTCCCCATTTACAAAAGCTTTATTTCCATTTTTTCCTTCTTTTTTCATTTTTTTTTTTTTTACTTTTCCCTTCTTTCCTTTCCCCCTCCCTGCTGCCTTGTTCCCCTTCTCATTTGAACTTTTCTTCCCATTTCACAATACCTAATATACATTTGGGTCCTTATTTACGCTTTTGGTTTTTCACACCAGACAAACAATGCGGTAATTACACGTGTGTCCGATATAATCTATTGTTCATTCATATTCTATGAAATACTTCTACAGTGTATAAAAGTATCTATTATTAAAGGTAGCTAAGTTAGATAGATATTAATACACAGTCTGGGCGGGAGTGGGCCTTCAAGGAAGTCAGCATAAAGACTTCAGAGTTGTGGCTGGAGGCGCATCTGAAGAAGGCCAGGCCTGCCCACTGCCCTGGAGACAAACAGCACCTTGCAACTGTACTGTAACCAGCATGTGGTCCAGTGGGCCCAGGTAGACATCAGATTCCAAGTGGGGGACCAGAGCACCTGGCCCCATGCTCCTCTCCCTTTCCAGGAATGCATTCGTTCTTTCTAGGTACCCCTCCTATGCGACTCCTTTCTCTACTGGATCGGTATTAACTAAGTGGCTGCACTGCAATGCTATGGTTGGTTTCAGCTTGAACCATGTTGTGACTTTGCTGTGTAAATTACTGCTGGCAAAGACACTGGGGGGCTACCCACTCGGGAACCCCTCCTGGACATGTAGGAACTATTCTTCCTCCCCTTGATTCCATTAAAACTCTCCTGACCGCCTTAGGCTTGTCACTTCATTCCTCCATATCCTGAGACCACAAACTGACACCTAATGGGTCGGGAGTTGTATTTTTTCTTATCACTATCACAAGTGACAATTGTTCTTCCATTCAAGTATCTTCTTTTCTTCCTCTCCCTCCTTTTCCTCTTCCTTTGTTGTTGTTATTTCAGGACTGGGAGTTGAACCCAGCTACATCGCTGGCCAGTTTTTAATTTTTAATTTTTTTTGTCTTTTTGAGATATGGTCTTGCTATGCAGTTCAGGCTGGTCTTGAGCTCACTTTGTAGCTCAGGCTGGTCTCGAACTCACAACAATCCTCTTGCCTCAGCCTCCCGAGTGCTGGGATTACAGGCGTGCACCACCACACCCGGCTAATTTTTAATTTTGAAACAGATTTTTCTGTCACTAAATTGCCCAGGCTAGGTTTGAGTTTGCAATCATCTTGTCTCAGCCTCCAATAGTGCTGGGATTACAGGCGTGCACCACTATGCCCGGCTTCAAATGTCTTGTTCTTTAGTTTCTTTCCTTCCTTCCTTCCTTCCTTCCTTCCTTCCTTCCTTCCTTCCTTCCTTCCTTCCTTCCTTCCTTTTCTTCTTTTTCCTTTTTCTTTCTTTCTTTCTTTCTCTTTTCTTTCTTTTCTTTCTTTTTCTTTTTTTTCTTTTCTTTTCTTTTCTTTCTTTTTCTTTCTTTCTTTCTTTCTTTCTTTCTTTCTTTCTTTCTTTCTTTCTTTCTTTCTTTCTTTTTCTTCTTTCTTTTTTGCCTTTTTGAGGCAGGGTCTCACTGTGCAGTTCAGGCTGGTCTTGAACTCACTTTGTAGCCAAGGCTGGCCTTGCACTCGCAAGGATCCTCCTGCATCAGCCTTGCATGCTGCATTCTAACACATCCACAGAAGCCAGCCAAGAATAGTAGGTGGGTGGCCTCCACCCAAGGTGGCTCCAGTGGCTGAGGAAGGGTGTAGCTACTTGAGCTGTGGCCTGTTTTCTTGCAGCAACTTCATTTCTAGTGGTCGGGCCATGTGGGCCTTGGGGGCTATCATTGTTAGGATTAGGTTTAAAGTGACAGAAAATCAAGGAACAGTGGCTTTAACAAGGTACATGGCTTATTTCTTTTTCTTTCTCTTTCTCTCTGAGACAGACCTTGCTATATAATTCAGGTTGGATTTGAACTCAAGGTGATCCTCCTGCTTCTGCCTCCTGAGTGCTGGGATTACAGGTGTGCACCTCCACATCTGGATGGTACATGGTTATTTATTACATGGATAGTCTTAAGATAGGCAGCTGAAAGCTGTTAGATAGTTTGCATAATCATCAAGAGCCTATGTTATTGCTGTACCATCCTCAACACCTGGCTTGTACTTCACTGTCCAAGACTGCTGCTTGAGCTCCAACCATCTCCTCATTGTGGCTATTAGGAGGGGAAAAGGAGGAAGAGGGCTTGCTGCTTTTCTTTTAGCATTGTTTCCTTAAGATGCAAATGACATTTCTTCTGTACCCACGGGTCAGGATGTTTTACCATTTGTTGTAAGGGTGCATGGGAAATACATGGATGGTCAACTCCCAGGAGGCTGTGCGGAGACCAGGGTGCAGGCTCCCACACAGTGTGGCTCTGTCCTGAAGGCCGGGCTGTCCTTTGGCTCTAGGGCAGCACTGTGGGACAAAGACGTGCTGCCAGAGGCCAAGCTGGCTCCCTGGAGTCTTCCCTCTGTGTCTGAATGCTGGGCTTTTTGTTTGAGAAAGAAAAATTGTTTTCCCAAGTCCTTGCTGCTCTTTCACACACAGAAACCTCTGCAGGGCCAGAGCTGACTGGATCGGGTGAGAGGAGTAGGAGGCCGGTGGGGCAGATGTCCCGCAGGCCAGGCCAGCTGCAGGGGCCAGGAAGGCAATGCATGAGCCTCACCAGCAGGGCAGGCTGCACTGCCCGGGGTGGGTGGGGTGAGGTGGGGACTGAGCACCCCCAAGAAGGTGACCTGAGACCCAGCTGCCCTGGACTCCCCTGCAGTGAGCAGTGGACCCTGGGCACCTGTCACTGCTGAGGTGACTGTATCCTGGGCATGATGCCACCTGGAGAGGAGGGAAGGACTGGAGGGGCCCAGTATTAGCTTCAACCCAGGAGGAAGTTCGCTTGAGCGGGCCTTACCCACTACCTCCAGAGGGAGCGGGGGCTTGCAGTCCAGAGGCCAGTGTCTTCAACAGGGATGTGTGGTGTGCAGGGCCGGGTGGTGCTCTGTCTGGTTCGACCTTCCTAGCTGTACGGGTTTGGGCTCGCACACAGGAAGCTGGAGCCACCTGGAAGGCCCTGGGGGGAGGCAGCATACTGGCCTTGGTCAGGAGGGCCAGGGGCAAACTGTCATGGCTCTCTGGAGGAAAAAAGGAAAAAGGGGACAGTCCCTGAATGGGCCCAGAGAGGCTGGGCCTGCAGTTCTGCCCTGTGGTGGCCCTGCAGGGTCTGGTTGGCCTCTGCTTTAATAAGCCACTCAACCAGGGCTGGGCTCGGCCTTTACAGTATGGTGGGGCCAGGTCAGGTCCTGGAGCTTCAAGGGCCCCCTTTGCAAGGGGAACTGGGTGGGACAGCAGGCCTTCGGAGGCCAAGCCCCAGCCCAGCAGAAGCACTCCTGAGGTCTTGCAGCCACGGCGTTGCAGGCAGCCCGAGAGGAAGCAGCCCCTGCCCAAGCAGCACTGTGCTCTACAGTACAAAGGCCCAGGGCCACCCACCCTGGATGGCACTCGGGTCAAGATGCTGAAATGCCTCTGATCATAAGCAAACAGATCCTTTAAAAGACAAGTGAGCTAGGCGTGGGGGCACAGACCTGGAATCCCAGCACCCTGAGGCAGGTGGATTGCAAGTTTAAGCCCAGCCTGACTGATTTAGTGATCTGATGAGACCATGTCTCAAAATAACAAAAAGGGCTGGGGGTATGGCTTGGTAATAGAGCACCAGTTGTTCAAAATGAAACTCAAACCAAAACCAGACCCAAAATACGATGCTAAGAAAGATGAAAATGAAGAGGCTGTGTGGTAAAGGAGACAGGAGGTGTGCGGAAGCCTGCAGTCACAGAGCCTTGTGAAGACACCGTCGGGGCTCTGAAAACGTGGCTGGAGGGTCCTGGATGGCGGTTTTTGTCAATGTTAAGCTGCTTGGGGTATGCTAGTGTGGTGCATCCTGCAGCACAATGCGGCTCTTAGGAGACATGCGTGTAAGGCTTTGGGAATAACCCTAAAGCACAGCCTGTTTCCAAACGTTGCCGAGAGCGCCTGTGCGCAGACAAGCAAAGTGTGAACCCTGGGTGAAAGCGCGTGAGGAAATGCCACCACCAGGCGACTCTGGGCTGAGCCTGAAGACGTGCAGACCCAGCCACGTCACCATCACCGAGGTGCGCACAGGTCAAGCCCCTGGAGGTGGCTGGGTGAGATCACATGATGAACCTGCAACGGCCCTGGGGCTGAGATGAGAGCACACACTCGAGCGCAGAGGGTGCCCAGGGATGCACGGCATCCCCCATGTGGTCCCTCCACCTGGGCTGGGCCCGGACCTTGTACCAGAATGGACCTCTTTCCTCTACCTCACCGTGGTCGGTCTGTGTAAAGACACCCACAGTTGTGTTGCCAGCAACAGAAAAGGAACTAATTCAATGTGTCTGTCTGCGAATTTGCCATTTGAGGTTGTTCTGAATTAAACTGGACGGGAAAAGCACTCATGGCAAATGTGACTCAAGGGCACTGGCCGTCCTGGCCGCCTTTCTCACTGGTGTCATCTTTCCAAATGGTGCAGTTAGTGATTACTAACGGTTACTGTTTGGGTGGTGAGAGGCACTGTTCTGAAGACAGCACCTACTTCTGGTCCTGCAGGCGGCTGAGAGCCATGTGGTGCTCAGGCTCAGGGACGCAGCATGGACACCGACACAGGGCGGGGTGGGGGACTATCACACCCCACAGACCACAGCACTCAGAAGTCCTTTTCAGGTTTATTTCATCTGCTAACATTCATTCTCAACCTAGACAGAAACAATTAGGTGATTATGACCTGCTTCTCCATCAGCAACTCATTTTTTTGTACGAATAACCAAAAGATTTCTTCTCAACACTTTTTTTTAATAAGAAGCTATAAATAAATAAAGCTTTAAACGCTCCTGGGTTCAAGTGAAACCGTTCCAGTTCCCAAAAAGTTCAGACTTGTTGTTTGGACAGTTCTGCTGTCCTTGGCTCCCCTCCTGGGGAACCTGTCCTGGAGGGGACATCTGCAGGTCCGTAGGTGCCTGGTGACTGCTGCATGTCCACTCAGCCCTGCGGAAGGCTGTGGGGCGGGGGCAGAGTCGCTGAGTACAGATGGGGTCGCCCTGTCCTGTGATGTCCTGGGAGATGCTGTGGGCACAAGGAAGCTTTGCCCCCAAAGCAAGTGGCCAGAGTGGGCAGCACGGCCAGACAGCCAGGGGCCAAGGCTGGCGCTGTGTGGGACTGTTTTCCAAATGCAGCAGAGACTGAGAGGAGACCCGTGCTTCCGTGTGCGTGGGGACAGCGGGGCACATCTAACATGTACTCCAATATGTACAAGAGGGCCTGTGCTCCAGGTGGCCCCGGAAGCTCCACTTGTGGACAGGAGACCACAGCACCTCACTGGCTTGAGAACAACTGACCCCAGGGCTCCCCAAATCCCACCTCCTCCCAGGGGCACACCCAAGTGCAGAGCACCAGAGCCCAGCCTCCTGACACTGACAGGGACTGCCCTTTAAAAGAGCCACTCCACTCACTCCCTCACTCGGGTGCCCACATCTCGTGTGACCGCTGGCCAGGGAGGAAGCACTGGGCTGGGCTGTGCCCACGCCAAGCCCATCCTGCTTTTAGACCCTAGTGAGGAGGACAAGCAAAGATGAAGCTGCTTCTTCCAGAGATATGGGAGCCCCACGCCCCCTGCCATGGTGACCAGCCCTCTACTCCATGGTGGGACCCGCGCTGGTCCAGTGAGATGGGAGCAAGGAGGGCCCTGTCCTGCTGCAGGGTCAGCACGCGGCCTTAGGCACATGCCTGTGCCCTCCCAGGACCAGGGTGCCTGTCCTTCAGCGGTGGGGGCCCTAGGCCTCCCAGAGCCCAGGGATGGGGCACAGGGCAAGTGCTTCCAACAGATATGCAAATGGCTTCTAGCAGGCCGCTGGCCAGCCTGTGAGGGGTCAGGGAAGTGTGGGTAGGGTAGGGAGGGATGCAACCCGAGTGGGGCGGGCCATGCCTAGTCAGGAACCTGAGGGGCTGAGTTTCCCTCCTGGCCACTGAGAACCACCATGGCCCAGGGTAGGGCTCATAGGCAGCAGCTCTGTTCCCAGCCCCAGTGACAGAGTCTGATTGTGTTTTTATGCGTGAGGTGGTGGGAACAGTGGTCTATGAGCCCTTGAGTAAAGGTTCTAGGGATGGGAGGTGGGGTGAAGGGTCAGGGAGAACAGGGGAGGGGGAGTTCCTGGTGCCCACCCCCTGGCTGTCAGAGCCCCGCCTGCCTGGTGGGCACTCCAAGGCCAAGCCTCACTGTGGGTTCTGAGCATAGGCTGGCGAGGGGCATTGGTGTCCCAGAGGCGGGACTGCAGTAGACTGCCACAGCTAGGGACCCTGGCCTGGTCAACCACAGATGGCTGAGCTGGGAGCTCCAGTCCCGAGGCCCCTGGAACTGCTGTGCTCCTGGGGAGGTGGCTTCCCAGGTCCAGGGCACCGGGGCCCCCAGAGGCCAAGGGGTGCTGGGTTGGCTCTGGAAGCTGGCCTGCTGCCCCCACTGGGCCGCACAGCAGGGGTGAGCGCAGGTATGTGCATAGCTGGTGTGGGACTCCTGGGCCAGCTCATCCTCTCTCCAGTGTCTTTTGTCTCGTTTTCCAAACCATTAGTGGATGTGACAGTAAGGGAGAGGGGCAGCAGGCGGGCCTCCTGCTCCAGAGGCCCCACCACGCCACCCACCACACTTGGGGCATCTTTCCAGCATGCTTCTTCCCTCAGCCCTGAAGGCTGGACACAGCGATCTATCAGGCTCTGCCTGGGGAACAGCAAGGACACCCGGCCCTACCCGTTCCCAGGACACATTTGCCTTCTGGTGAGTGGGCGTAGGGTCTCCCAGCAGTTTTGGGTGGGCCCCTTTGCATGTTGGCCCATGACCCATCTCACCCTGCCCTGCAAGGCCTCCCCACAGCCACCACCACTACCACTTCTCGATGATGTGGCTCATGTAGTCTTCAGTGGGCACGCGGCCTGGCTCCTCAGCGTCCTCGCCTGGCAGGGCCTCCTTGGCGCGGTGCAGCAGGCGCTCCTCTCGGCTCCTGAGGCGCTGCTCCCTGCGCTCCAGCTGCCGCTTATACTGGTAGCGCTGCTGGAAGAGATCCTTGGCATAGTCGTAGAGCTGCATGTCCAGATCGTTGAGTTCCTCGATGCGCCGGATGGTGTCCTCGTCCACCTCCACGCCGCCCGCCCGCGTGCTGTTGTACTGCATGAAGGGCCGGATGAACTTGAGGTTGAACGTCCGCTCGAACAGGTACTGAGTCTTGCGCTGGAACTCGGTCAGGCCGAAGAAGGCCATGCCACGCAGGTTCTTCTTGGCGCTCTCCAGCAGCAGCTGGGCCCGCTTGCCCTCGGGGATGAAGGACAGGTTGTAGCAGCCCACCAGGCTCAGGTCGGCCAGCATGCGCACCTGGCGGTTGTTGGCCAGGTTGTAGGGGCAGTCCATGAACTCCTGCAGCGTGCAGCCTGACCAGTCCGTGCCCTCGTAGCAGGGCGGCAGCTCCTCGGGCGTGGGTGTGCGCCCGTCACACATGTGCAGTGAGGTCTTCCATGTGGCCCCGCGCTGCACGTGCCGCCACTCGCTCAGGTAGCGGGACACAGGGTCCCGCAGGAGGGTGATGTAGTAGAACTTCCTGCAATGAGAGGGGGAAGGGAGGTAAAGGGGTGATGGGGGCATGAGGGTGGGGTCCCCCTTGCATGCACGTCCACCACAGGAGCCTGGACAGGTGGTTTCCCCCATACCAACTGCCACACTTGGCTGTTACACCAGGGACGTGCAGGAACCTGCCATGGGCACACGGCTGCCAGGTATGACCCTGAACAGTGCCCTGCAGCACCAGCCCTCGGCTCCCTGTGCAGCCGGCCCCTCAGGAGGGCCAACCCTGATGCCCCTCACTGGGAGTATGGAGCTGCCAGGATCCTCACAGAGCTACCTGTGGCACAGGGGCTTCTGCTCCCCTTCTGGGCTGGGGCTGCTACTGAGAGCAAAGAGAATCTCAGGGAAGGGCCCCTGTGGGGCTCAGCCAAGGGGAGCTGGCCCCTCGGGAGCAGGGCTTCCCTGTGGCTTGTTAGTTACTGGTACACTGTTGTACCCCACTGCAATGTGGGCTCTCTGGGGAGGAAGCATCCGGCCGGTGTCTGGCTCCGTCCTCCAGAGACACAGGGATGCAAATGGCAGCTTGGTTCCCAGGGGCTCCCCCTTCACTGCTGTCAACCCAGCCACAGCGGCCAGGGGTCTGCTCAGTGCCTTGTCTGGTGAGCGTGCTCTTTTGGGTAGAGTGCTGAGCTGCGACCCTGGCCTGCACGGTGCCCACGGCATGCTGACCTCCAGCGCAGGCCTGTCTCTGTGGAGGTCTCCTATGCGCTGGGACAGCTCAGGGCTCCCAGCACTCAGCTCTTCCCAAGGCCTCCCACAAGCCTCTGGCCGCTCACCACCACCCAGCCAGGCCCCTGCTATCTGCCAGCACTAACAGACGAGGCATGACATGGGGCCTTCATCTGGGTGGCCACCTTGCGTCACCTCTGGGCCTGTGTCTCTCCTTTGTATCCAGAGCACTGGTAACTCTGGGTAGGCTGGTATGTGTTCCTGGAAAACGTGGGACAACTCACACTGCCCAGGGCCACAGAGCCCAGGGCCACTGGGGGAGGAGAGACTGCTGGGCAGTCGGGGGTGGCTCACCAGCAGCAAGGGCACGAGGGAGGGGACAGCTACAGACAATGTTTGACCTCTACCTCAAGTTGGCCATGAGTCCATGCAGCTGGGCGGCTCACAGGCATCGCAGGGGAACTGCTGGGTGATGTGGCCGTGAGACAGTGGTCCCTGCCTGGTGCTCAGGCAGCCTGGGAGAAGGAAGGCCCTGAACTACACACTCAGGCTTGTGAAGGGTATATGGTGGTGATGCCCCAGCCCTCAGGACAGCAGCCACGGTGAGGGGTGGCCAGGATGCCAGGGTCTTCTCCTGCCCACACTGGGGTGTCCAGGCTCAGGTACAGGCATGGACAGGGTCTCCAGTGCTAGTTCCACGTGCTCCTGACTGGGTGGGGCGGGACCAATGGGACTGGGAGGTGACAGTGCTATTGGGAGGGTGCCCCTCCCGAGCAGCGGGCAGGGACAGGATCCTGGGGCACAGGCTCGATTCAAGTCGAGGCTAGAGGCTCGGCAAGACCAGACCAAAGAAGATCTTACCTATTTTACAGAAAAACAAGCTTAGATGTGTCATGACCCACAGTGCACAATTCATGGATTTCAGAGATGAAAGTCTAAGACCTCTAGGAATGTCTGCTCTGTCAAATAATTCTGCTGTTCCCCAAGCGCAGATTCTGACAGCCCCAGGATTCATTGCCTGGGCCCCGTGCTGGCATCTAACCATGGCTGGTGTAATGCTTCCAGTGACCCGCAGCTGCTCTGACATTTTTGTGGGCACTGGTGGAGTGTGCCCACAGCCATGCCGTGCCTATGGGCAAGGGCGGCATTTCTGCTTGAGTTTGTTAACTGAAATCACAGGAGGCTATTGTTTTGGATGAGGCTTCTGTACAGACTCATCTGTAAATCAAAATGGAGTCACTCATGCTAAAGCTCCTGCCACACCCAAAGTTGTATCTGACAATCACAAAGCAGGAGAGAAACAACTCAACTCAGACAGACTGGTTCCAATCAGCATGATAATGAAGCTCACCCTGCCTTTTTACAAAAAAGCAACCTGATAATAGCTAAGCAGGTCCATCTCCCTGTCCTGCCTTACCGCAAAAGCCCCTATAAAGGGACCACTCATCGCTTCTCCTTTCTTCAGCCTTTTCTTTCTATAAAACCAATCCTCAGCTCCAATCATTGGCATCCCAGCCCTTCTTGTGGAATAAGTTGTTGCCCCATTCTGGAATCATAAATAAAGCCAAATGAGATGGTTTCTTTGTTTGCTTTTTGAGACAAGTTCAGGCTGCCCCTGAACTCACTATGTAGCCCAGGCTGGCCTTGGACTTGTGGCAGTTTCCCTGCTTCAGCCTCCCGAGTGTTGGGATTACAGGCATGCACCACCATGCCCGGCATTAATTAGCTGTGGTCCTAGTCTTAGGATGGTTCCACACTGTGCTGTTGGAGTGACTGGCTCTAGTTTTGTTGGTGTTTGTATTCTTTTCTTTGCTGCGCTGGGGCTGGGACTCAAAACCTTGCACATGGCAGCAAGAGACCAGCCCCTCGGGTCTGTTCTTACAGGATCACTGCAGTCTGGCCTGGGCCCACTCCACGGAGAACAAGCACAGGAGTCTCCGGGAAGGCATGCAGTAAAGCGGGAGCTCTGAGGCACTCACAGGAAGGAGGGCTGGGCAAGGCTGAGCAAGGCGGCTGCAGCCCTCTGTGCTCTGCCCCTACCCTCCTTCCCAAGGGCACCGGGCAAGCCAGGCACTGCCTGATCCAGTCAGGGAGACTAGGCACCACTCACATGGGCCTAACTGATAGGCCAGGGGAGAGGGGAGGCCCTGGCCCCAGGCCAGAGCAGGAACAAGAGCACCTGGGGTGTCTTCCACTGAATGCCAGGGGCTGGATAAGGGAGGAAGGGAAGAGAGCTGAATGTTGAAAAGCGGATTTAAATCTTAGCACATGAGCCACCAGCCGCTGCCACCTGCACCTGGACATTTAGATGTAACCCTGACCAACCCAGAAGCAACAGCCTGACTCCTTCCAGACTACCCTCCCAGCCCCAAGCTTCCCGTTCCGCAGCCGGCCCCTCTTTTCTCCAGCCCCAGGCCTGGCGTTCAGGGTTTACGCTTTCCTCCTCCCAACTTTCGTAGGTTTATTTCTTTTAAAACAATCTTGCTATGGAGCCCAGCCCGGCCTTGAAACTGAGTGACCCCTCCTACCCCAGCCTCCCAGTGCTGGGGTTACAGTGTGCACCCCCACGATAGTGCTCTCCCCTGGCAAATCTCCGAGCCTGTCTCAGGACCTGGTCCTTTTCTGGCTGGGCTTTGTAACTGCAGCATGGCTCAATAAACCCTCTGATTTCAGAGACCACTTTTTGCCTCAAGAGTTTTAGTTTAATAGAGGGCAGGGCTGCCCACCCACGGGCAGCAGCACTTCCTTCCCTTCCTCTGCCTGACAGGAGTGGTTTGACCCAAACTCATGCTCCCATCTACCCACTTCCGACTTTTGCTTCTGGAAGTCCAGGACTTCAAGGCCAGCCTGGGCAACATAGGGAAACCTTAATTTTAAAGGAAAAAAAAAAAGCTGGGCCTGGTGTCTGCAATTCTAGCACCCTAGGAGGCTGAGGTAGGTAGGAGGATCACAAGTTGGAGCTCAGCCTGGGCAACTGAAGTGACTTAAGTGAAACTCTGTTTCAAAATGAAAAAATAAATGGTTGGGTGGTACTGAATGAAGGTCCTGGGCTCAAGCTCCAATACTGAAAAAGGAACAAAGAAATCTGGCTGCTGACCATGAGACGTCTAGGGCTGGGGACAGGCACTGGACACTGTGAACTGGCATGGGGCTGTCCGCTAATTGCACCTCCACAGGAAGAAGGGCATCCACGGAGACACAGCACAAGGAGGAGGAAGCTGACTGAGCGCACACGGCGGCCAGGCTGCATCTGCAGCCACAGCAGAAATGCCTGCGTCCACTGGGAGTGACGACTGTGTTGGAGTCACAGTTTTGTAAAAATTGCACCTGCTCAGAGAAGGCACCACCCAGGACAGCAGTGGACCACTCAACAGTTACCTCAGGACAGTGAAACCAGGGATCCCCGCCCCGAGCTGCCCTGCCCATGGGCAGCAGCACTTCCTTCCCCTCCTCTGTAATTTTCAAAACAGAAAAGCTGAAAGTTCAGCGAAAACCTATTACACTCCAAATGGGTGATTTTATTTTCTTTACATATTTCTGTGCTGTCTGCAGTCCCTCATCTGAAAACCTGAAATGCTCTAGAACTTAAACCTTCCTGAATGACAGCAAGACACGGGAAAATTCCACACCTGACCTCATGTGATGGCTCAGTCAAAAAGCAGGTACCCTAAGGACCATTCAAAACGCGCAACCTACGTACCTAAGGTGTATATGAAATATAAATGAATTCTGTGCTTAACTTGGGGTCTTCCCTGAGCTCTCTCATAGCATATATACAAATACTCCAAAGTCTGAAATCTAAAACACTTCCAGTCCCTAGCATTTTTACTCAGTTTGTACCCAAATAATTAAACAGTGTCACGACTGCAAGATGGCCCTATTGCCCAGGATGGAGGTTGGGGGCACAAGGGGGCTCTGGAAGGGTGGCTTTATGTTCATCTGTCTTTTGCAAGGTCACAAGGTCTCTCTCGGCAGTTGTGCCTCCCACCATGGGACTGAAGGGGCCTTTCACAATGGGGTTTAATCAGCTGGCTCTGAACTTGACCTTAATTAACCACAGGTGCAGCAGAGGTGCAGCTCCCCGCTGGATGCAGGATCCTGCTGTTCAGGTAGCTGATGGAGTGGGTGGTTTTTCAAAGCAAATACTCTCCTACTTCTGGCACAGGCATGGCTGTGTGCACAGCAAGTCCTCAATGCCGGTCTGGATGCAGCACCAAGAGCACCCCATGTTCTCCCCTCCAGCAAAGTCGGGTGTGCTGCCTCAGCTCATCCAGACCACCTCTTTTGAGCCTGGGGTCTTGCTATGTA